CCAGAATCAAATTTTCCGGTAGACCTCAACAGAAACCTTTGGGCGAAGACCCCTTCTTCCCTTTTACATTTTACTATTAAATTTCCTTTCAGCAGCTTCAACCCACTTCTAGCTTTAAATCAAATACATATGAAATAAGATTCACAGGAGTAAAATGTGCAAGACAAGTGCTCTAAAGAATCTACAATATTTACACAGCTTTTCTTCACATACTTAATACAGTAAAAGATTTTTGCTAAGAAAAGCAGCATGACTAAATGTAAGCTAAAAACCCCAAAGATTTGGGGTTTTTTGAAGCTTACTGTAATGAAGTTGGTACACAGGGGACCAGATAGGGGCTTACAGAGCAAATTCACTCTTGCCCTTCCCCCAGAAGCCAAGAGGAAAGCTGCATTATCATCACTGAGTGAAGGCAGATGTGACAGCAGCTGCAGCAGAGCAGGCTGCCCTTCCTCTTCAACACTCCCATCCCCTCCCACAAATACTTTTTCCTACCCCCTCCAATTCCTCAGTAGCAACCCATGCCTCTGCATTTGTCTGGAATGAAGCATAATACGAATACTTGCTGACTAGGAAGACACAGCTGGCCATCACTGGGATCATCCTGGGTGGGTGATTTCTGACAGGAATCTTACTATTTCATTCCTAAAAACTTCCCCTTGACCCTCATATCTCTTTCAAAAGAGAATGTAATTATGAGCATTGTATAGATTTTGTAGATAGTTTAAGCTATGCTTTAATATTACTGTTTTTCCACCAATACATTCTCTTTCAGATCTAAACTGTGGATCCAAAATTTGTAATTGCTACTTCAGTGCACATGTAGTAAATATGAAAGATCAGAACAGATCAACAGTTGCTTGGATATAGAGCACGTGCTGAATCTTCTCCCAGTAGTTACTTAAGGGAGTTTTCTATTGATAATGTTGTAGATCCTGGACACCCTTTGCCAGTGCAGGAGCACCAGCTGACAGTTGAGATCTCAATCAGTCGATCTAAATCTCCCAAAGTGATGAAATCATCAGAAACCAACTGCAAATTTCCCCACACCAGCAATGACTTGCAGAAAGCATAACAGGCAGATGTACAGCTATCACAATGCTTATGTTATGCTTCTCCGATAGTTAGAGACTGTAATCACTTTTCCTATGTAAGTGTTTAGTGTACTGAGGCAAAGCTAAACAAAACACAATACCCAGAAAGCTGGCAGAGGCAACTTTACAAGAAATGTAATCCTTTAGTTTATGACCCTGTTTGTAATACCAAACCACTTCTTTCAGGACTGCCTTACCCTTCAGTCTGGTCACCACAGATCAAAATTGAAGTCAATTGTTAAAGGGAAAAAAAACCCAAACAACCCAACAACAGAACAGAACTGAATGCAAGCATGCACTGAAGTGTCTTAGCTTATGCAAGGGATTTGGGTCAGTTCCACACTTTTGCCTCTATGCTTTCGCAACGCCTGAACTAGCTAATTTAGAAATACCCTGAGTACCTTTTGGTAGAAGTAAGGATTCCTTCATACATACAATATTTCATTAAAAAAAAAATAAATAATAAATAATAAAAAAAAACACACAGAAATATGGTTTGTTTGTAGTTTTTTTTTTTCCCCCAGAACTCTCCATTACTTAAGTCTGTAACAATCCACACTATACATAAGAAGTTTTCTGACTTGTCAAGAGTTTTCATTTGAACTAGCTGTTTCTCAGTAATTACATCTACCAGAATGTTCTAGTTGTTGTTTTCAGTAATCATTAGACTATGGCCTGAAAACCATGAGAGATGTCATTATCTAATAAGTTTAGTTAAGGGAGACACTTTCCTCCAATCTCCAAAAGAAATACTGAAAGGCATTTTAAAGCTCCATATTCTCTTTTACCTCTTATGTTATCTACTATCTAATTATTAAAATTCTACAAGATAAGTGGTAGAAGGTTACTATACATCCTTTAGTAAGAATGAGTTACTGTAGAACTGAGGCTTATTTTACACAGCAAAATAAAAGTTTTCTTGCTCTAGCAGCACAGTGCAAATATTTGCTTACCAATCTACTACATTTAATTTCTTAGAAGGCAGATTTGAGAAAACAGGCAATGAGTAATTTTTGCAAGTGAGAAAGCAGAATAACCTGGCATATGCTGCTGTAACAAGTCAGTAAAGTATTTGAAAGAAAATTGCAGTTAGCACTGTTAAGGGGTTGCATCCTCACCCCACTCCATTAAGACATTAAGGAGAAGGAATTAATCCCATAGGGATAATTTTCTCAACAGAAGTATCATTTAATAAAGGGAAATGGAGATAGAGTGCTTAAGAGACAGGGGTTTCTAGCAGATAGGTTCTAAGTGCCATCATGGGAAATACAGATAGAAGCAACTCTTTAACTGTTGATAAAGGTCATTAGATCAATTTAGGAACAGTGAAAATAAGGGCGTAATGTTTATATAGTATATAATATTTAAGATTTTACTCCTCTGTAATTTGCTAAATTTCATGTTCTAACTATCTGAAAGGCCTAAGAAATACAGTGGCTTCAAGAATTTGGAAGATTGAGGAATCATATATACACTAAATTTCTTTCAAATGAAGTATCACCTCAAACAGTAGTAAAAAGCTGATAAAAATTCCAAAATTAACATTCACCTATCATTAGTTGTTTATGAATACAACTAGAACACTTACAGTACCAGACAGAGTGTTTTCATTAGCCCAAGGCATTATAACTGCTTAAAAATATCATCAGTGTTATATAGCTACTGGTTTGTCTCACAGAACTTAGCAAAGAATCATTATCCCATTTCGTAACAATAAAAAGTGAAGTCCGTAGACGCTTCACACCTTCTAATAAGCAAAGAGTCACGAAAGACATAGCCAGTAGCCAGTCTTCGCTTCAATGCATCATAGTCAACTACTATCACTCGACTTATTTGCATTGCATGGCTGGTATACATAGCTAAATTCTCAATAACAAAGGAAATGAAAAAAAAAAAGTTCAAGGTCAAATTATTGTTTAGAAATAGCAAAGAGTCAAGCATGAAAATGAAGTTCGCACTTTCCAAACCTATTTTTATTTCCCCCCTCCCCCGGTTAACACAGCTACATTAACAGAAAGTACATGCTAATTCTTCTGAAAAGGCTTTTTCAGCAGAAGTATCTCAGCAGCAAGTTTCACCTAGCTCTAATTATACACTGTAATCTGCCTAAAAGCATGTAGGAATTTTAATTTTGTGGAATATATTAATCTTAAAACGCTTTTGAACTATACTACTTCAAAAGTCTTACAGAAGGAGAAAAATCTAGCATGTTTTCAGCTTCCTTTGGTGGAGTTATCTGGACTGAAGATGCAGGATAATCTGACTTCAGCAGCAGCACTGTGTCTTAAGGTCTACTAGAATGAACCCATTTATAAACAGCCAGAACTGAAGGGACCAATAAGGAACCAGGAACTTCTTAAGGCAGCATGGAACTACACGGCTAGCCAAAAGAGAAGACAGCAATATGCACTTTATTATACGACTTCAACAGAGTTGCTCCCTCCCTGCATATAGCCCAAAACCAGCCAAAGTCCAAAACACCAGTTCCTTAATTAAAAGTACTGACAACAGAGAAGCACAGATTCATTTAGGCTGGAAGAAGCCTCCCACACTTCAGTTTAAAAGTACATACGTTTGAAAAAAGCATGATATTTGTGCAATCCAGGAGCCCATGAAGAAGCTATAGTTCAATGCATATAAATAAATTTTTTAAAATTGCAAAGCGTTGCCTCAGAACAGTACAGAAAACAGTTGTACAGCTTAGATTCCCTTCAGTATTATCTAGTCTCTACCGCTACGATAGCTAAGTAGATATTCTATGACCTTATCTAGATGTGAAGCCTTAGCAACACCGTCATCCATATTCAGCGTGACAGTTCATCCCCACCAGGTCACAGGACCTAAACAGGGCCCAGATTACAGCACTACTAGCTCCAATTTTTCATTAAAGCTTGTGCTTGCGCAGTCAGGAAAAAAGAACACCCCGCAACTGTAAAAACTGTACAATAGCAGCGATCATTTTCCACTAAGAAATAAACAATCGTGGACGCTGCAGGAGGAATCAAGCGAAGCTCCCTGAAAGGTGAGGGGAAAAGGCGCGGTGGAACAGCCGCAAAGCCGTCCAAAACAAGCGACGGGCCGCGCCCGGCAGTGCCGCCAGGAGCGCCGCACCGCCGGCTCTGTCCCCTCGGCTCAACTCCTCTGCCTCTCCGCGGGGCTCGGCAACGAGCCCGGCGAGGCACCCCTCGCCTCTCCAGCTACCGTAAAGCCCGCACCACCAGACGCCAAGGTTTCTCCCCCACGAACGGGGCTTGCATTATTTTCCCCAGCCGCCCCGCGTCACACGGCGGGCACGCCGACAGCGCCAGGCGGCCGCGCAACGCCAGGCACCGCGGCACGACGTTACGAGGAGCCCTTCCACAGGGCACCGCCGCGCTAAGGCGGGAAAAAGGCCCGGCTTCCTGCTCCGCTCTGGGCTTTGGACCTCACCGCCGCCACTCTCTCCG